ATATGTGAGAAGAAGCTACCTTGAATGTAGAAAGATCTCTGCCTAACTTCCTCACTGAATTTGCAGAGGTTCCTAGCTAAAAGTTTTCTCTTCAGTTGAATGTAATGCAAACAACTGGGAAAAATTAAAAGGAGTAAGAAACAGCAAAGCTTTCTCCAGCAGTAGTGGTTCTAAAAACTTGATAATTGATGCTCCCCTGCAAGGGCTTAAAGCTTCTCCTTACGTTCCTCCACTGTTTATCCATAATTGTGAGTAGGGACCCCAGCCTCTGTAGGAATGCTGCTACTTCTACAAGACATAAGTGTGAAAATGAGAGCACTGGTGTCCAGTGGATCCGATAACAATAGAATAAGGGCTATTTTTTCATCTGACTTTGCCAAGCCCTGGACTGATTTCCCAAGAGCCATAAAGCAGGAAATGTGGACAGATCCTTGGTAACCTAATGAAAAAAAGGTTAGCACGTTCATCCAGGTGTGGTTGCTTATGTGTGATGAGAATTATGCTATTTGAAGAACCTGCGTTCTGTAGCATAGCTAGAAAAAACAAAGTTCATCTTAGTAACACTCATATGCATTTGAGATTGGTGTTTTCTTTGTTTTATTTTGTTCTAGCATTGCCATCGCAGAAAATGGATTAGATAGTGAGGTAAACTGGGAGCCATAAAAATAACTGGAGCTGGTATGGTGCTTACCACCATTCCAGTTCCTTAGTTCCGGCTTGTGTACAGAAAAGGGAAATAAATGAAGAAAAGATACGCAGTACCAGCAAATGCTTCCTTTTGTATTAGTGCAGCTGTGCTTGATGCTGGTTTTTCTGCACCCATTACTGGAAGTCAGTGGGGGAGGAATCATTACAAGCATTTGTAAAGCTAGTTGCTAATTGAAATCAAAGTTTAATTTAAGAAGAAAAAGAAAAAACTTGGCCTAGGAAAGAGGTAAAATTTCATGGACCTTTGAATTTCAAAATTTCATGGACATTACCTAAGTAATGTGCAATTCCAGTTGTATATATGATACCTGTAAGACAATCTGAAGCATAGTTAAAAATTTGCACGAATGGCAACCACTGGGTCCAGGCTTGTGTCTTCTGACCCGTGTTTTGTTTGAAGCGGACTGTAATGCCTATGTAGTTGCTGAGGACAGTCTATGCCTTGGCTTCCTCAGATTTGCTTGTACTGAAGGGTTCCTATCAGATGAGTTGTGTGAACTTTATCTAGTGTTCTATGAAGTGAGAGAAATACAAATATTCTAGAGCCTGGGATTCTGAAGTAATTTAAATCCTATTTTTAAATCTCAATTAAAATCAATAATCTTAATGATCCAGGGCATTTAAAAGTATTACTCATGATAATCAATGTGGTAAACAGACTGCCATGAGAAGTTTGAACGCTGAGCCTTACTTTGTTCATTATCTAGGTCTGAACTTGTGTTTTCAGCTGCAAATTCATGAACCTCTAGTGCTCAAATTAACAAAAAAGTGGAGGGGGGAATGGTGATATTCCAGACATTTTACCCAATACACAGTCTCTGATGGTGTCATATTTATATGTGTAATTTTAATCTTAATCCTTCAAAAGAACATTTAAAAGTTCATAAGTTTTGGGCTTCACCATGTGTGATTGAATGCCAAAGAATATTTAATTTCATGATGCATTTTAATATCTTAATCCCCAGTTGCCCTATGACTTCTGGACCCCCTAACAAAATGTACTCGGTTCACCCAAGTATGAAGAAAGACCACCAATCTTGATAGATACTGAGAGTAGAAACTGAGTAAAAGTACTAGGACTTTCTATTCCTTACTAACCAAGATGACACTGTCTACCAAACATCAGATGCCACAACCAGTACCAAATTAAATTAAAAAATCATCAGACTTGTTTCAAAGGGTTCTGAAAGGACTTCTATTTGAACTTGATCTGAGGACCATGGGAACTCCTAGTCTGTGGTGGTGATCTAGGACAGCCAGTTCTTTCCACCAGGAGAAAATGGTGTCTGCAGACTGGTGCAGGGTAACTACTAATTTTATTTCTAGCCCTTTGATCTTATGATGCACGATTCAGAAATTTCTCTGATATAGACAAGAGTGTTTATTTGAAATAATATCTGTTCTCGTCTGCTGCAGAATTTGTCTAATGAAATAGTACACAGAGCAACAAGTGTTGTTCCACAAAATGAAAATCAGACATTTTGGGGTAGCACGAGCCATGCTTTTTTCCAGTTATAGGTCATAGGTGTCAGAAAATGCCTGCATAAACAGTGGAGTGGTAGAGAGCCTTTTCCCAATCTTAAAACCATCCCTTACCACTTCAAAATGAGTAGTCGCTACACAGGTTACAGAGCTCCAGCAACTTCAGTACATCTGCCCTTCGGACAGTCTGCTCTGAGGAGCAAAAAGATTCCCCTCATTTGCTGCCCAAGCATTTCTCATTGCATTAAGGCATCTTGCTTATTCATTGCATGGTCAAATCACTATGTTGGATTGCAGGGGATTTTCCAAGCTCTTTTTCAGTATAACTTAAGTACATGGTGTTCAAAAAGGAAAGAAAAAAGACTGAGCATAAGCCTTTAACTGTTATCATTTTGTCAAGCACTGATGCTTTTCTCTGCTCTTCAGGAAAGCAGGGTGGAGTAGCCACCATATGGAGTTTTGCAAGTATTTTGAGCAATGTTTCTTTTGAAGTATTTAAGTCACAGTAAATAGTCCTGTCTGTCTGTATTCTTGTTTATCATTTGAGCTCACCCAAACCTTTGAGTGTCTATCCAATTTCTCCTCAAAAAGAAATAATAGTATACTCAAGTTCATACTCCCATCTTGCAAAAAAGATTTTTTCTCTAATGACCTACACAAGTCATCTCTCTGAAGAAGGAAGAATTGGTCCCTTTTATGAGCTGCCCATTGTGGTTTTTTGATGCAAATCACCGTCCCTCATCACCTCCATCAACATGGACCTTAAACTTTGAAGCACTGGATGTGGGGGAACTATATTTCCTTTCCAAACAAAAGAGCGAGATCTCCTTCACATATGGATATGAGGGACCACAATCAGACTGAATTCAGAAAGTAACACCAGCAACAGAAGCTGTGCTTCAAGCAGATGTCAGATATGACAAAAACTGTAAAATTGAACAGAGAGTATTTGCCACTTTAACAAGTGAGTGAAAAGAGTTACACTTCATTTGTTTGAGTTTTATTTATGTTTTCTGAAATAGAAAAGTGAGTTTGTTAATGTACTTTGTGTCACGAAATTCTGTGCTCTGTCTGGCAAAGTAGGGGTTGGGCTAAGGAGATGTCAAATAGCTGTATTTATCCTATGTGGACTGAATGAGCTAAAGCATTTTGAAACCTCAGAAATCTTGAAATCCTGAAATCCTGACAAGCATGAAATTTGCCCACAGTGCATATTCACATGCTTATCAATCTCTTAATTCTCAGAACAGAATGCCAGCAAAATGACTGAGCATGTGAATTGACCAACCTACACAAAAGTCAATATTTTATTAACAGTGCAACAGAGAATTTAAAGCTATTCTAAAACTGCATTCTTCAATCTAGAGTCTGCGATGCAGGAAAAAAAGAACAAAAACCCTGAAGCATGTGATTAAGTCTGTGTTTACTCAAGAAAGATCTGAAGTACCTACTTCAATTTAGACAGAGCATTAACCCGAAGGAAGTCAATAAGTCAATAAGGAAGTTCATATAAGCAGCTAAAAAATGTGAACAAGAAGCCCCAGTCTGTCTCATAACTACAAGCAATGTATTTATCATCTACACAGCAATCATTATTTTAGTATGTATCATTTAAAAATATATCATGCTTGCCTTCTGATGCTAGAACAGCTGTACCATAAATCCAGCAGTTCTCAAACAAATTTGTACTCTTGGGGCAGCTGGAGGTTTTGCAGATAAAATATTGAAGCTAGGATATTAAAAATAGGCTTTTTAATAGTAGTCAAAGTCATTTGAGACCACATGAGCATGCTTGAGAATGGCTGCCTTACAGCAGTGACTTCCTTACAAGCTCCTTAACAAGCTCGTATTTAAAAATCCTGAGTTGTTCTTAATACGCGATTTTCTTTGGGCTTTTTGGGGGGTGTTTATAAAATCTTAGAAGAACAGGAATAAGGATTTAGAACATGACTAACATCTCAACAATTAAACTGTTGCGGTATTAGGATAATTATATAACTGTGAGGAAAGAAAAAATATGAGTTGCTGGAACCTCTCTTCTTTAGATTACATTTATCAGGTGTTGTAGCCTCTGAGTTGTATAGCAACATCATATTGCACGCATTCACAGCACATTGTCTTAACATAGAAACTGTCTCTTTGTGAGGATTATTAAGATGGACCTAACTGATCTTTCCAATTATATTAGCCCCCAAAACGTTGCCCTTGAGCCAGGAAATTTGTAGGTGCTACTCCTTTACTTTGCTTATCTCTAAAACAGAACAACACCTCAAATAAGAGTAAGAGCAATAAAGCTAGCACCTGTTACAAGCACATTCATCTTTTCAAAGAACTTAGACAGTATCTACTTTTCATATTCATACATGTCTGGAGAAATAAATCTGCATAAATTCCAGTGGCTAAAAGGCATGTAAATGTGTGTGATCTAAATATTCCACTGTGTTTCTTTCTATTGGGGAGGATGGGAGGATGGAATCTAAGTCTTTCCAACATCAGAACTTGACATTCTACTACACTTTTTCATTTGTGTGAATTCAGCACAAACATATCAGGAATCCAGAAAGTTTTGGCTCTGCTTTTGTTTTAATTTCTCAGTTTAGTAATTCTAGATCCTGTCACTAAAATATTATCCTGTTGGTACTCTTCCCATGTTTTACAGAAATAATTTCTGAAAATTGCTTGTGACTTCTCCAAAAGCATCTAAGGCTGCAAAAGAAGTCTCTCCATGTTAAAAAAAAAAATCTAAATTTTTGCATGATCTGAACTGAATTGTTGGTCAGATTTCTAATAATTGCTTTTCTTTTTTTCAGGAAAGCATAGATTTGGGGGAGATCATGTTTTCCCTCTGTTATTTGCCTACTGCTGGAAGAATGACATTTACAGTCATCAAATGTAGGAATCTCAAAGCAATGGATATAACTGGCGCATCAGGTAAATCTACTTTTTTTTTTAAATAACAAGGCAGAGTCTATTCAGGAAAGGGACAAATAGGAACTCCTTGGTTTTTGTGCGTTCAGCATGGTTGTAGAATGGAAGTAGCAGGAGAATGGGTATAGGTCCTGTTCAGATCTACTGGCTAGCTTTGGTCTGGCAGTCAGTATGTCTGTTCAGGGTTCCTGTACCTTTCCTTTGCATATGGAAAGCAGTTTTTGCCAGGGTCACTAAAATCTTCGTAATTTTTTGTCTTATCAATATGACATTCCTACAAAAAAAATTGCTCTTATGCTACATGTTTGAATGATGCTGAGTCCAAATGCCCACAACTGATGATCTGTTACACAGATCCATATGTCAAAGTGTCACTGATGTGTGAGGGTCGAAGACTGAAAAAGAGGAAAACAACCACAAAGAAGAACACGCTCAATCCTGTTTATAACGAGGCCATCATCTTTGATATCCCTCCAGAGAATGTGGACCAGGTCAGCCTCTCCATCGCAGTGATGGATTACGATCGGTAAGCACAGTTTGCTTTCTGAACAATAATCTTCAGTGAAAGGTTACCTGATCATTGCAAGTGACTGCTTTCTACCTCCCTGAACTTTCAAGTCAGTTCAGCGTCACAAAAGGTAAAGCCTTTGGGTCTTTTCCTGAAGCGGTTTAAAGCTTCCACACCTTTTAGAGCTCAGGCCATTTTATCTGCGTCATAAATAACTATGATGAGGAAAAAACATGGCTTGATCTTCTTATGGGCCACTGGCATTGACATACATTTCTGTCCCCATTTGGTGGCTGGATTATGTAAAAGCTTTATAAATCAGGTATGTGTTAGTTTAAAAAAGACCCTCACACCTCTAATTTCTATTTAAATGCCAGATATTTGAAATCAAAGAAAATGTGGATAACTAAAAAAGAATTGGATTCTAATTACCTTATTGAATTAAGTGATAATTAATCCTTCAGCTGACTCAGTAAAGAAGCTTTGTAACCTTTGGGTTCAGCACTCACTGCTAACACACCTGAGCCTCAATTATCAATGTCCTCACCGAGAACGGATAGGAAGATACTCCTGCTTAGAGTAGCTCAAGGACTGCAGGTTAAACTAGACAGTGACTGACAGAATCATGCCTGAGCCAAGTCTGCTTCATTCAAGTGCTATTAGTAATGAGCTCTTGAGACTGCAGGGCAAATAAACAGTGCAAGTCCAGTTTAGTAACATGAACCTTCAGGTTATTTTTCCTTGCCATCAGATTTCCAATCGTCCTCCAACTTCTGTCAGGAAGACTTTCTCAGCCAGATGCGAAAGGGGCACTGGTGCTTTTAGAGGGAGAAGAGCACAGCAGCTTGCATGCTTTCAGTCCTCTTCAGCTGCTCCTTTCAAAGCATTTGCTAACGGGATGTTAGGAAACATTATTCTAAGGTACAGAAAATTACTTTCTGGGCTCCCTCAGCAACTCTGCGGTGCTGCCAGGAGTATGAAGTATTAAGGTATAGCCTATTACAGCTATACCCCTCTCTTTCACATTTTTGGCTGAAGTTCCAATGACCACAAGAGCTAGAGCTAGGAAATACAGTATGAAATGACATCTGAAGCATCTCCGCCATCTTCCACCACCTTCCTCTTCCACAGAATTTAAGCATGTTTTCCTTCTAGATCATTTGGTGTATTATGGTCCTTTTCTGTCCTTGTGCCATTTGGGTTGTAACCTTTTAATGGCAAGGGTTATGTCTTCATTGCTATTTTTATGGCTTCTAGAAGCACTCCGGTAGTGGCTGGAGGTTTTTGATGCTACCATTACAGAACTTAATATTACTATACTACCACTAAAACTAATATCTGTAATAACTAATGTGAAAACTTTGGGCATGTATTCTGTGCTGCACTAAACCAGTAAACTGGATTGTACATCAGATGTTATTAAAACTATTTTTATTAAAAAAATTCTGCCTCTCTGCAATTCTCAGAGTAGGGCACAATGAGGTCATTGGGGTATGTCGGACAGGAATTGATGCTGAAGGGCTTGGAAGAGATCATTGGAATGAAATGTTGGCTTACCCACGTAAACCAATAACTCACTGGCATCCACTAGTAGAGGTAAGAAGTAGCAAAATTCTCTCCTCAGTATATTGAATGTTTTTGTCTCTTTCACACTTATGTGCTTCCGAGAATCATGAAAATCAGTGCAGCATCTGTGGACCAGCTATAAGATTCTTAGCACAACCTAAATCTAGCTGCATGGGTTTTATTGATTACTTACATGCACCACTTCAAAAGTTTCCATGATGCGCTGACAGCACTGTACCATTGAACAATTAAGATATTTGAAATTTCCAGAGATTATGATAAGGAGCTTACATCCACTTAGAAATGGTCATTTGCAAGTATTTCAAAAGCAATCATTTCCTCTTCAAAAATCTTCAGCATGAACAGTTATGTTGCTAAAACATTAATCTGAAACTGGCCTGCTAATTAGGCTAAGTTGAAGTAACATACCTCCAAAGTTACTCAAACAGACACTTACTGGAAGCTTATTCAAATTCCTGGGTGATTATATCTACAAGTCCCTGGGCTTGGACTCCCTCTTCAATTTGCTGTGGCCACTTCTTACTGTTTTTCTGTGTACAAAATGCTCACAGCTTTGGGTTCAGAAAAGATTCATATTGGAGCCTCAAGAAACAGCAGGCCCTGCTTTGGGACAGAAAGGACACATTGTTTAGCCCTCCCCAAACCCAGTCTCTGTAGAAAAATGAGTTGCTGTCTGAGGCATCTCGGGCCATTTGTTTTCCCCACCGTGGCAGTAACAGGTAGGAAAAGCTCAACAGCAAGGCTTCGGTAAAACACTGAGGGTAGGGAAACTGAGTCAGTGCAGGAGAGAAGCCTCTTGTCAGAGGTTCATGGCTTTCTCTGGGTTATGTACTGCCCCTGATTGGTGAAATAAACCCACTCCTGAGTCAGAGGCATTTTTGGGAGCTCACTTTAGGAATTTTCCTTCCATTATTAGTTCTGCCAGAGACTTTAATCCAGAAAGGGTCAAGATGTGATTCAGGTTCTTCATGGAGGGAGTCTCTCATCTTCTGAAATGAGTGTGATACATGGCCGGATATGATTACATTTGTAAACCTAACACTTTTCTTGCAGTTACCTGGCCGAGCAACCAGTTTTGATAGCCAGGGATCTTGTTCATCACCAAAACCACCGCTTACGCCCTAGGGAACAAGAATGGATTCATCGTGTTCAGTGTCCAAAGCTCCCTTGTAGCTCACATCTACATAAATAGAAGGTTTGGCTTCTGCAGATGAACTGTATCCATATTTTTTTATTAAAATACATTTTTCCTATTCTAAGTCTTATATTACAGTTTATAATAATTTCTTAATGTATGAATGAAGTTGAGACTTGAGCCAAGTATAATCCTTCCTCATACAAATTCATTCACCTGTTTTTTCACTGGCATATATCCAGTGTCATATCTAAACAGTGTTTTGATATGACCTATATCTTTGCATAGACAAAGAAATCAGAAAAAAAAAAAATCTCTTAAGCAATTCAAAAGCACTGCAGCTTGTAATGCCGAATTCTTTTGAGGGAGAGCAAATAGTCATGTATAGCTCTTGTAGTAAATCTCTTCTAAATTGCACTAGATCTTGTATGACTTCTCAAGATAACACTGAATGTTGCATGAAAAAACAGCTGCTGTCATATTTTGAGTGTTCAGAAAGTCAGTTCATTCCTTGGGCAGGGAGGAAGGACTGATCAAAAGCCTACTGAAGCCAACGAGATGGACCCTACTGGCTTCACTGGGTTTTAGTTCAGCCTTTATGGAACAGGGTTCCCAACTGGATCTATGCAGTTATAATCTTCCAGCAATCAAGATGCCCGCTGCACCTACAGGAACTCGCCAGCCTGTCCAGCAAAACAAGCAGGGACAGGCTCCCAGGCAGGTGGCTGTACTCGGCGGCTGTTTTGCTTCAGCTACCCACCGGCTGATGAAGAGCTAGCTTGGATCTCACCGCATAGCACTGAACAGCACACATACGGGTATCACTGTGGAAAGCAAATATGTCTGCAGCGAGTGGTGTGGAAATTGATGTAGCTCCGCAGAGGTGTAGGTGTCTCCTGATGAGGTGCATCCAGGCCCTTCGAAATAGCTCATTTGCTGCTGGCATCATGCAGTCCTTATTCGGTCTTTATGTGGATCAAACCATAGGCGAGAGAATGCTCTGAAGTAAAGGAATTTATTTAATGTATTTTAGCTGTTCAGAAAATTGACCAAAAATTGCAGTTACAGAGCACATTTCTCTGATTCTTGATTTAGTGTGACAGTATTAGATTTCTTTGAAGTTATTTTGACTGACTGAATAGCTCACATGGAGTAGTTTCTGGTCCCTGGCTGGATGCCTCTAGAATTATATGCCAAATATGAATTTGAGATAAGTTGTGTGTCAATATATGGAGAGAGAAATTGAAATGTAACAATTTTATAAACCAGTAAGCTCATTTATTAGAATACAGTCACAGCAAATGCAAAAAAACATTGGCTGAAGTGAGCTGTTTTAAAAACCAGAAGACAACTACATATTATTTTGTGGATTTAGCTCTTTTTAGCACTGCAGTTTACCTTACTCAGACAGTTGGGTTTTTTTTTTTCTTTTTTTTCTGGTTTTTTTTTTTTTTCTTTCTGCGAAGAGCATGGCAAGGACTGCATGATTGGGCTTGATATTTTGAAAATTGAACTGCAACTAGAAGAAAGGTGGGGTGGTGGCTCTTTTTGTATCTTTGTCATGTATAAAGAAAACTGAGAAGATGGTATTTTCCAAAACAGCTTTTTTTACAGAAGAAAAGTGTCATACATGAGAAAAATACCAATGGAAGATTGTCTTACGATAATAGAAGAATTTGTGAGAATTAACCTAGTTATGAAGGGAAAAGGCAGTTTAGACAGTCTTCTGAAGAATTGTTTTGGCTTGGCTAGTTTGGCATTGTTGACACAGAATACATTTATGAAGATCCAGTCCCTCCATTCCTCTAACTAATCTCTAAGACAGTCGAATATGACTTGAAGTGTCTTAATTGTTCCAGAAACGTTAGGAAGCCTGGTCTGAACATTACACGTGTTCCTAAGGGAAAAAAGGAGGCAAGTTTTATACCTTGCCTTCTGTGCCTACAAACACAGCAAGCAAACAAACAAATAAAGCTTTCAGACATTCTTTACAAAGTTAAAAAAAAAAATAAAAAAAAGAAAAGGCTCTAGCCCAACTTTTTGAATGTCTGTTCATGGCTTCTAGACAGAAATATAGACAGATATAGTTTTTCCCAGAGAGGATTGGTAATGCTGAACACTGATCCTCCCTGCCCAAGATTGTATTTTCATCACCATAAATACAGAGCAACCTTGCAGAATTTCATTCCTCTCTTTGCTCCAGCTGAGTAATTTTTTAAATAGGAGAACAAGCTCTCCTCTGTGGGTTTTTTTTTTCTCCCATCATTGTTATCATCCTGAGATTTTGTGGCCTAGATCATTTTCATCATGATTTTGCAAGGTTGATATCCAAACGTATATATATATATATATATGTGGAGATTGAAAAACTATTTTGTGTATACGTTTATCTTAATATAAATTATATCAGCAGTGGCCTTTGTGGCCTAGAAACTACTTTTTGTAATGTGGTACTGTAACAGTTAACTAAATATTCTTTGCACTTTTTTGCACCTAATATCCAAAAAGCTAACAATTTCACAATCAAATGTAGCATAAGTGTTCAGCAATGAGCAACTTCTTTTTAACTATTTCATTGTTCTCTATGAGTATCCTGTATGTTTCATCATAAGTAGTAAGGTATTTCAATATTCATTTTCTTAAATTGAAATTGTTGTCAAACACCAAAGGAATAACAGGTCAGTTTGTGCCCTCTTGTTGTGTTTTATTTTTGATATTGTTAATAACAATAGTGAATGACTTGTGTGTCTAAACTTGATTTATGGGTGCTCTGCATCTAGGAAAAATCAGGCTGCAAAATTATCAGGACATCTAACTTCAGAAATGATCCCCTAATTAATTATTTTTAGTCCCTTATCAGTGATTAATAGAATTAATGCAAAAGAATTTTTTTTTCCCCACTTCTTTCTTAGCTACGTCACCAGACAGGATGTATATTTAGTATAACCAACCCATTTCCTTTAGAGCCTGGTTCACAAGTTACTCTCTGAGTGTACTCACAGAAGCCCTGAGTAAAAACTTAGCATGGTTTTAGTCAATGAATATATTGCTTTATGTATCCCTTCATTAAGAAATTTAAAATGTTTTAATTTGGAGAAACTGTAAACTCCCTGCCTCCATCGTGAATATTTTTTTGTTGTTTATGCATATATTAGCCTAATTTGAGCAAAATCAAATCTGGTAAATGGTTGGTGTAAAATATATTGTAGTAATTCTACAATAGTTTGAAAAACTCACATTCCTAAAAGCCTGAGTTATTTTTGTTGAAATGATTTACTGGAAGCAGTAACTGTACTTAATAAGAATTGTATTTTGCACTGCAGAGCTTTTTTATACTTTCACAAGAGTAAACCACAGAACTGTACAGAGAAAGTACATGATGGATTAAGTGGTTCCAGGGGAGCAGTTACATTTTTATATTTATTTTCAATAACGCACTGTAAAGTGAAAAAGCCCCCACACAAATGTATCTAATCAGCCATCCAAATCTTTTGGGTAAATATTGTTTTCAAGCAATTGTTTCCCTTACCCACATTAAATAAGTTTTCAGGGACCATTAGATTTGCTCTAAGCAACCATAAAATTCTTATTAGGTCTATGCAAAATGTTAAGTAGAACCCTAAGCCACAGGTAGATTTAGGATTCTAGTGGCACTGCAGACAGTAGCCTAGGTGAGCAGATGCTCAATAAGACGTAAGTCACGTATTGCATTCCGTGATCTCAAACTCCAGATCCTTGTATTGTATACTTCTGCCGATACGGCCCTTCCCCTCGCTCTCCTGGCAGGTAACCTTCTCTTTCCCCACCATCTCTCATCTATATTGGCCTTCTGTTCAAGCAGTAGAGACTTGGCCCTTACTTTTGTCTGCACTGTTGAAAGATGACTCCTGGCCTTAAAAAGTAGTAATATGAAACCTGTGGGGTCTTGACGTAAAGGTGTAGGATAGCTGCATCTCTCACTTTCATGCTACAAAGAGCTGTCAGGAAAGCAACTTCCCTTCTCTGCAGTCCCTTATGATCATCAGGCATTCAGAAATCAATAATACTGTCTGGTTTTTTGCTTCTAGCAAGCACTAAAAGAGCAATATACATATCTCAGGGATATGTATATTGGTCAGGGACAGAGAAAGTGGCCAGAACCAGTAAGATAAAACAAAACTTAGTCTATCAGGACAAAAGTTACCCTGCACAATTTGTTCTTCAATATATGGAATTGTTTTGACTTCTTATGTTTAAGTAACAAAACCATACATTTTTCTTAAAGAATCACAACCATTTCAATATTTTTGAAGACAATTTTGAGCAAACATGAGATGTTTTCATTGGGTTGATTTTTTCCAAAGGTAAAAAGCAATTACTTCCTAATTTCTTTCTATGGATGCATTTTTGGAGCAATATTAAGAAAACTTTAAGTTTCCAAAAAGGACTCATTTGATCCATCCATTCCTCCTATTTCTCATTTTTTTTAAACTGGCTTCAATGTAATCCTTTTGGAAGTTTTTAACATGGTGATACACAACAAATACATGATAGTCTAGTTCCAAGATTATTTTGCTGTATCTTTAAAATCAATTAAGTGTTTGTATCTTATTAACTTTTATATGTACTTTTTATTACACTTAATTACAATTAATTCAACAAGCTTTATACATCTGAAATCATTTAACTATATTTTTAAAGTGTGTAAACATTTGAAAGAAGGGTGAGTAACTATCTTAGAACTCAGTAATAGAGTTCTGCTGAAAATTTCAGATTTTTCAGATCCATAAATGTGCCTGCAAAATTTGAAAGCCACCTTATTAGAGCGTGCAAAACCCCTAGATTTGCACATACAGTATTTGCACTTGCAAATTGTATAACCATTATTATTTAGCACTTTTATTACCACAGAACACCCCCACCTAATCAGAAAGATGTTTCTGTTTGTGATAAATACTGAACAAATCATTACTGAGTGACAGTTCCTTGACCTGAAAAGTTCATATGACTT